AACTATGACCCATGGCGTCAACCTCAACCACCCGCGTCTCCTGCACACCGACAAGATGCGCCTGAAAAGCAGAAGGGGAAGGAAGGGAAAATGCCAAGCCCAGAGCGATCAGTGACACTCGCAGAGACAATCTTCCAAAAAGTTGGGGCCTTAGGCCCGAAGGCTGGCGCAGCACGGTAGCTACCCCAGCTCTGGCTTCTTGTAAACCGAGGCAGCGCTGTCGAGCGCAGCCTCAAGCTGCGAGCGGGTGATGCCACCCTCACCTGAGATGAGGCCGTCGATCCAGTCGCCCTGCTTGAGGTAATCGCCTGCAACCGCCATGTCGACCTCCATGCCACGGGGCCCATAAGGAGCAGCAGCAGCGCCAGCGCCGCCAGCGTCATCATGCCCCCGTTCAGCAGTTTCTTGTTGTGCGCTCGCTCGAATTCAGCGGCACGCAATGCTTCAGTTTCTTTCTTGGCCTTCTGACGGGCCTCGGCAATACCCTTGACGGTCTCCACCACCTGCGGGTCGACCCCGATCTCGAGCAGCTGTGCCACCAGAACCGCAGCAGGGTCAGCAGGAGCAGGGCTGCTCGCCTTGCCCAGCTCCGAGTAGGCGCTGGCGGCTTCGCGGGCGGCCTCGATATCCTGCTTATCCAGCTCATCATACTTGTGGCGCAGCTCGGCGGTCTTCTGTAACTGCTTGGCGAGCACCTCTTGCGCACGTTCCCAAGCACCTTCGTCCTTCTGCACCTGATCCTTGAGAAAGTCATGCTCCTGCGTGGTCGCAAGACTGACAGCGGTCGGGTCACCAGCCTGCACAGCACGAAGCGAGAGGAGATGAGACTTCTGCCCAGCGGACACCCTGACACGGCAGGCCTCGAAGTGCTCGGCCGACATGGCGAGCATCGCGGCCTTGCGCCCTGGTGTGAGCTTGCAATGCCCAGCGCCAGGCCCATCTCCTGACTGCTGAGATCCACCCTGCTGCTGAAAACAAGAAGGACGTTTGCCCAAGCACCAGCAGGAGGGCGAGGATGAGCAGCAGCGGGGCCAACGGGCTTCGCCTTGCCGCCCACCCAACAAGAGGTCCTCAATTGTCCGGGAACCGGCAGCGCTTGTCGCAACAGGTGCACGTCGTAGACCACGGCATGCTCCCGCCACCATTGCCCACCATCGAAACGAAGTGTGCAGTCTCGTAGCAGCCGTACAGTAGCAGAGCTGATGTGTGAGAGATAAGGCCCTCACGCCCGAAAAGGAAGTGCACCCCTGGTTTGGCAGACGTCTGGGGGGAGCACGGAGCGCGTCGGTGGCCACCTCGCGTGTGGGGGAATCCGCAGATGTTGCCTTGAGCCATAATGGCTTGAGCCAAAATGGCTACGGACTCCTCCTCCTCCTCCTCGTCCTCCTCCTCCTCTCGAGATCCCCTCGATAGTGGTGAAACAACTTGCACGGGAGGCTTTCGATCGCCGAGCCCTAGGACCGTCAAAAGCAGCGTGGGATGAAGAGCTGGTCCCCGGTAAGGAGACCAGACCTCTGGGGGTCCACGTTTTGAAAAGATCAAGACGTCGGGGGTCTGAGCCCCCATCGTCAACCACAACCTCGTCCTCCCCTGTCCTCTAAACGCAGGTCGGGAACAGGACCCCTTCGCCGAGGTCCCAAGGCCCAATGGAGATACCCCAAATGAGAAACGTTCCCAGGTGGACTGCACCAGCACGAAGAGTATAAGGGTACCCCTCCAAATCTAGGGTTGCTCTTAACCCTCATGCCAGGTGCACCTCCACCTCCCAGTCGCCTCCCCCTGTACCCCATTCTCCTCCACCTCCGTCTCCTCCTCCTCCTCCTGCTCCTGCTATTTGTCCCCGCCTCGTCGTCATCCTGGCCATTCGGAGGATAAGGATACGGATGAGGATGAGAACGACGAGGAGCAGGTTGAGGATAAAACACGCGAAGAGGAGAGGCGAGAGGAGGAAGAGGAGGCCGATGAAGAGTGAGAGTTAGGAGAAAGGAAGGTGGGATCATAGTGAGAAACCAGGGGGACGAGGAGGAAGAGAAAGACAATGAGATGAAGGGGGAAGAGGCGGAGGAAGGTAACGAGCAGTACCATAACTCCCACCAGCTTTCTGGGAGGAGGAAGCTCTGTAGCTCTTGCTCTTGCAACCCCTTTGTTTCCCTTCGGGAAGTGGCTTACCAGTACCCCTTATCCTCCCGTTCTCGACCAGCCGCCAGCCCAGAACAGTGAGCCCACCCCCCGCCAGCCCTGTCGAAGGCAACGCGAAGCGCACGTGGCGGCAAAATTGGTTCCCGCTCTTCGCTCGCCCACCGTCCCTGCCAAAAGCCCATGTAAAGTGCTTGCGAGTGCTCACACCTACCCCATGCTGACCACCCCGCCGCCACTTCACGTGTGGCGAGCTCCGGAAGCCCTGAGCTAGACACGCGCGGTCCACGGCTCGCAACGTAACCACTCGCAAATGGCCTGGATCCGCAGACGGGGGAACTTGGGAGTTATCGGAAGTGGCAAACATGTGAACCAAGAAACCTTGACATCTCTTGGGGGGCGATCTTGGTTTCTGCCGGCTTCCGCTGGCGGAGGCGGCCTCGCTTTACCTCCGCGGGCTTCCGCCGAACTTTCGCCGCCTTTCCCCGTGAAAGAGATGGCAACTCCTTCGATCCTCGAAGGCGAGGCCCTGTCTGGAATGCCTCACCGGTCGCCCCTGGTGCGCGTGGGCACACGTGGCGCAACTATCAAGCGTCGCGCCCCTGGCGTCTGTAGTAAGTCTAACATGGTTCTCCGTCCGATGACGACCCCTGCCTATGCCGAGTCTCGTGCGCGCGCGCGTGCGTGTGTGTGCAGATGTGGGGGGAGGGCGGGTAGGAGTGAGCGAAACAGCTGGTGGTATTCCCGTTTGCGCTCCCTGGAAGGGCGACCATTCTCACATAATGCTGGGCACTTCGCTTCAGGCGGGCTCAAGACCTTAATCTCCTTGGGGTCAGGGCCCCAGGGGCCTGGGGTCCCTATGGGTTCCCCGTAGCTGGCGCACCTGGCGCGACTGGAGCACGTGGCATAGCTGGCGCACGTGGAGCATGAGCCGCACCTGGCACGCTTGGGCCTCCAGGGTGCCTGGTGCAACTGGAACCCGCGGCGCGCACGGTGTGCGTTGCGTTCCTAAGCGACCTGCTGACACTCGGGTGTTAATTTTTGTGCTGGGCGGGCGGGTGGGAGTGAGCTAGACGGCCTGCTATCGAGGATGTTATCTTGATCCCACCCCCCAACTCCTTCCCCTGGGTCTGAACGGGGATGGGCCCGATCATAGGGTCCTGTCTTGGCTGACACAGAGTGGTGTCACATAGCTCAAGATGATTTCCGAGATGTAAAGCTGAGGCTGGTCTCTGAGATGCGCTCAGGAGGCCCACGACAGCCCTAAGACGGCACCAAGTAGCCGCGGAGGGGGGGCAACATGTGCCTAACACCTTAAGAGATGTCTCGCCGGCTCCCTTCCGATTGTCCAACTGCTTACAAGACAGGAGAGCTCCCATAGGGGCCCATCAGGGAGGGCTCAGAGACGCTGACCAAAGCGCCCCAAGAGCGCCCTAAGAGCGCCCCAGTATATGACTGTCGAGGCTCAAGCGGAACGACGCTCATCGGCGGCGCCGCCTCTGCTCAAGCCAGGAGCATTGCAAAGTCTTGGGTTGCTTAACGATGTTGGCATCTCGGCATCATCCTTGGCAGGCTGTTCGGCCAGTCTTGATCCAAGGTGGCTTCAGGTGGCGGAATATGGAAGATGTCGCAAGATGGTCCAATATGTCCTCAAGCATGCCTCCGTGAAGCCACGGGACGGCTCCAAGTGGCCGCGGAGCGTCCCATGGAAACCCCCAACGGGCCCCAACCGCTCAACGACCCAATGTGGTTTCAGTGTATGGGCCTCTGACGCATCCAGATGACGCAAAGATCGCCCAAGAGAGGCCCGAGACGGGCCCAAAACCGCCCAAGAGCGCCCGAAGAGGGCTGCAAGAGGCGAAAACTCTAAGATTGACGTAGCAAGAACGTTCAGGCTCCCTCTTCTGTGATCGATGTCCTTGAAGATGGCCCAGAGAAGGCACCCAAGGCCCCCGAAAGGGGCCCAAAAGGGCCCACAGAGGTCCCCGAAAGCATCCACACTTGCCCCAAGAAAACTTCACGATGGCCCAAGGAGGCTCACAAGATATTCTGAAAGCAAAACGTCAGCGACAGTCTTTCTGATTGGCACCTGCTATCATCGTCGTCTTCGTCTTCCCTCTCGTCCTCGTTAATGGCGTCGCGGTCGCCACCTTCCTCCTCCACCCTCCTCCTTCGCTCTGGCCTCCTCCTCCTCTTCTTCTTCCTTCTCCTACTCCTCCTCCTTATCCTCCTCCTCCTCCTCCTCCTCCTCCTCCTCCTCCTCCTCCTCCTCCTCCTCCTCATCCCACCTCCCTCTTCATTCATCCCTTCTCCCCTGTCTCATTCTCCACTTTCTGCTCCTCCTCCTCCTTCGACAGCGGGCTCAAGCAATCCACTCGCGGGTATGTTTCAGGCTGGCTCCGAGCCCGGGCTTGACTGCCCGCCCACCTGTCTGCCCAAATGGATGTTCCTGCACATGCCTGATCGTGGCAACTCCCTGGGCGATCGTTTCCGCACGGGCTAGTAGGGATGTACGACGCGTCAAGAACAGCAGCAACAGCAGCATTCATCATGAGGAAACTCAAGGAGGCCTCGCGAGGCTAATCGAGACCGAACTTACGTCGAGTTTACGCCGGATCATCGCCACGCGCGAACGCCATCCCACGTCTTGCGTGGCGGACGTGTGGACTGAATGAACGACTATTGCGTGCCGCGCAAGGCCTCCAGGACTTTGTCGGGGGCCCCAGAACCGTGTGGTGGCTGGCCCCGTGGCGCCAGCCGAGCCCCACTGACTCACGGCGTGGTGTGGTCACCACACCCTTCAGGGATGCGCGCTTGCCGTCAAGAGGAGAGACGGCAGCACGCAGGCGTGTTGGCGGAGCCGCCTGCTCGCCGCCCACGGCGTTGCCAAACCACCAGCCCGAGAACTGGGCCCCGTCGCGATTGTCCTTTTCCCGCGCGGGGAGGAGGGGGGGGAAGAGGGAGGGAGGCGACAGACGAGCCGACGGTCCATCGTAACGCGTGTCCGCGCCACCGCCTGCGCTCGTCCACGCAGGCGGGGCACTGAGGGCCGACACCGGCCGGCTGCGTGTTGTCTGTGGAGCTGACAGGGGTGAGCAGACAGTGAGCTAAGACTCGTTCTGAGGATCATCGAATGGGGGAACATGGAAGGCGTGCAAATGTAAATGGAAGCCTCCAGAGGCCTCCAGGGACGCGAACGGCCCAAACACGTCCAAATGCCTCGACCCTCGAGAAGGAGGAGGAGGAAGAAGAAGACGAGGAAGATGACGAGGAGGAGGAGGACGAGGAGGAGGAAGACGAGGGGGAGGAAGACGAGGAGGAGGAAGACGAGGAGGAGGAGGAGGAGGAAAACCAGGAGACAGGAGAAGGATGAGGGGGACGAGGAGGAGGCCAGGGTGATGGGCGGGGGAGCAGTGGGGAGCGGGGGGAGGGAAAGTGGGGCATAGGGAGAGGTAGGAGAGTGGTTAGGGCCAAGCTTTGCACGCGCACACCAAATCTGACATCCTACCCCTCCCAGCCTTCCGTCTCTATTTCGCTGGAGTTGCTATTGTCGCCGACTGACGTCATAGCGGGCCTGCCTCCCGAAAATGGCCCCACCGTGCTATGCTCAATCAGAAAGGGTAGCCGTGCACAATGGTGGAGGGAGTGCTGGATAAGAAAAAGGATGAGCATGGGGAACGCAAGGATGGAAGGAGGAAGGAGGATGAAGAGGATGAGGAGGTGGAGCGGCAGCAAGAGCAGAAGTAGGAGGAGCGGGAGGAACGGGAGAATGAGGGCAGGGCGAAGGAGGGGCACGGAGGGGGCGACAACGACAAGGAAGGTCTCGGATCCAGAAATGTGACCCGCGCGAGGGCGAGAGCGCCACTCTGAACGACGGGAACAAAGCTCCGCTCCTGAAATGGGGCCAACGCTGCAGAGGGAGGACCACTTCAAAGACTGAAGACGTCGTGAGTGGAAAACTATACACCCGATCAATGTTTGGAATCCTTTGCGCAAGAACGCAATACGCGGGGAAGAGGCCCCCCGCTCGGACATGATCCAGGGAAAGAGGAGAGTAACTCTCACACTGAGCAAGTGGAGAGGCGGACGGAGACTGGGGTGTAGAGGGGGAACGTGACGGCGCGAGGGCGGCAGAAAGCCCTGGAGCGAGCCCATGCGAAATTTTCCACTCTACCCTGGATCATCGACGGAGGGGAGCTCTCGGTAGATGCCGCTCGAAAAACGCTCTCCGCCTCTCGAACACATCTACAACTACACGCAGCAAAACTGCACCTTGTTGCGGGGACCAGGGGTGGCAATCATAATAATTAGATTGGGCGCGTCGGTCGGTCTGGGTGGACGGACGCCGCCTCACGACCTACGATGGAAGGCGACGGTCGTGCCGACGACGTTGCGTGCCAACCGTGGAAGCGATCGCCAGGTTTCACGGCGCGGCTTGGCGGCAGCCTCAAGGAAAAACATAGCGCGAACAAGCGTTTCACCCTCGGACGGGAAATCCGGCACGAAGAAGAACTCGAAAGCGCAGAAAATCGGATCGCGAATTTGAAATTAGGCACAGGCGGGGGAGGGAAGCGGGCTGCGCGAGGTCGAGGCCCCCGGGCATACAGCTGGCTTCGCTGAGCCAGGGGATGTGGGATGTCGGCGGGAAGCGGCCCAGGGGGCGGGGCCTCGGCGATGGGCAGCGCGGGCAGCCGATGCTTCGCGAAAAAGAGACACGTACAGAACGGCACTTAGCGGCAGGGGCGCGGTACACGTTGGGAGCGCGAGTGGCGGCACCCGACATGCACCCCGCCCCACTGGCTAGGTGTAGTTCTATAAGTGCTCCGTTTTGTGAGGATGTGTGCGGCGAAACCAGCACGTACAGAACTACACCTAGTGCCTTGCTAAGTGTAGTTCTGAGCGTGCTGGATGTCTCGCGCGGGGCGAGCACGTATAGACCGGCACCTAGCGAAAGGGACGGGGTACAGGTCGGGTGCGTCGTCGCGCCCCGCCCGCAGAGTCAGGAAGGCAAGGGCCGCTGAACCCCCTGCCAGCCTCCGGGCGGAGGTGTCTGAACGTCCTAGGGCTTTCCGGAGGAATTCCAAGTGCGGCCTCCGCCCACATCGCTCCCCCTGTCAGAGCATCTCGCCTGGTCACTACGTTCCCCATTCCAGCCCGCTGCTTTGCCCTCCCCCTCCCCCGTTTTTCCTCTACCTGCCGCCCTCCATTTCCCGGAGCGTTTCCCAATCGCCCCTGGCCCCTGCGTGGCGGCAAACGCCCGCGCCCCCCCGCAGCTGAAGGGCCCACCTTGCGCTCATCCTCCAATCCTCTCGTGAGGCGCAAGCCTTGAATCCACACTGACACTGGCAAGCGAAGTCGAGGCCTCGGCAAATCCGACAGGCGCGATCGGCCCCCTCGAATGGCGGGCGAACCAATACGTAAGACGATGTCGCAAAAGTAAGTTTGGAATTTGGGGACCCACGCAAAAAGCTAATCCACTCGCCCAAAGTGTAGTTATGTGCCTGTCCGAGCCTCAGCCTCCATCGCATCCAGCTCCCCCCTCCTCCTCCCCCCGTCTCCTCGTCCCCATCAGCATCCTCGTGCTCGTCCTCGTTGATGTCTCCATTGTCCCCCCAATCTCCACGCGCATCTCCTGCCACTGCCCGCAGGACCGCTCTTGGTCAGAGGCAAGCAGCACCAGGGAAACGGGTCCTGGACCCCGTGGCTCTCCCCCAGGACCAGCTTTCATCCTCAGGCGTTCTGTTGACGTTCCAAGGGCCAGTGGGCCAGAAAACGGTGACGCTCACTCTCGAGGGCCCGCTTCCTCAGGCACCCATGGCGACATCCGCTCTGCCCCGCCCCGGAGTCCCAATAGTACATGAACACCTCGCGGTCGTCCGGGTCGTCTGGATTCGGCTTCCTCCCCACGGCTACCCCGCGGCGGAGGGGTGAGCACGGATAGCAGGGAGGGAGCAGCGAGGAGCAATACATGTTGAAGAGAACACGTGGGATACCATGTATACGCTTACATTTACACATATACATGTATGTGCATGTATGTATATAGACATGCATGTATGTATGTATGTATGTATGTTTGTGTGTATGTGCGCATGGTATGTATGTATGTATGTATGTATGTATGTATGTATGGATGTATGTATGTATATATGTATGTCTGGATGTATGGATGTATGGATGTATGCATGTAGGTATGTATGTAGGGATGTATCTATGTATGTATGTATGTATGTATGTATGTATGTATGTATGTATGTATGTGTGTGTATGTATGTATGTATGTATGTATGTATGTATGTATGTATGTGTATGTATGTATGTGTGTATGTATGTGTGTGTATGTATGTATGTATGTATGTATGTATGTATGTATGTATGTATGTATGTGTGTGTGTATGTATGTATGTATGTATGTATGTATGTATGTATGTATGTATGTATGTATGTATATGAGTATGTATGTGTGTATGTGTATGTATGTATGTATGTATGTATGTATGTAGTTATGTATGTATGTGTGTATCGATGTGTGTATGTATGTATACGTGTATGTATGTATGTATGTATGCATTTACGAAGGTACGTACGTACGTGCGAACGTGTATGTAGGTAGGTAGGTAGGTAGGTAGGTAAATGTGTATATATGTATGTGTGTATATGTGTGTACGTATGTATGTATGCATGCATGCATGCATGTATGTATGTATGTATGTATGTATGTATGTATGTATGTATGTATACATGTATGTATGCCTGGTTGTATACATGTATGTATGTAAGTAAGTAAGAACGTAGGTAAGGTAGGTAGGTAGGTAGGTAGGTGGGTAGGTAGGTAGGTGGGTATAAATACATTGAATATATGCTTCTTGATTCTTGTTGGGGAAAAACGAAACCAGGACGAAGACACTATCGGATCGTCGGGGATCTCTGAGACATAGCAGGCTTGGAGGATGTGTCCGACGCCGCGGCTGCTCCAGAGCGCTCCAGAACACTCGGTGAGCGTCCTGGAAACGCACTAGAGCAAGGTGTGATTATCCCAAGGCCGACCTGGGTATAGGAGGTACAAGAAAAGTTCTCGACGCCCTGGCAGTTCGCAAAGACGGTTTGGACCGAAGAGGTGGTTGTGCCGCGAGCTAGCCCAACCACTTCTCAGTCATCCTGCAAATAAGACTAGAACCACGCGCGTTTAGGTTCTGATACAAGGCTGTTGCATCATGCTCATCCTATGCCTACGCCCCATATCGAAGTCCTATTCGTCTCATTCGTTCTCGCCCTCCTCCTCCTCATCATCATCAGCAGCATCATCAGCAGCAGCATACCCAGCAGCATCAGCATCCGCAGCAGCACGTAATCAGCATCGTTATTCTCATCAGCAGCAGCATCATCAGCATCATCATCATCATCATCATCATCATCATCATCATCATCATCATCATCATCATCATCATCATCATCATCATCATCATCATCATCATCATTATCATCAGAGTCGCCAACATCATCAGCATCATCAGCAGCATCATCAGCAGCATCATCAGCATTAGCAGCAGCATCATCAGCGCATTCCTCAGCATCATCACCATCATCATCATTCCCCTCCCCCCACTCTTCCTCACGCTCATCATCCTCATTGGTTCAGTCATCCTCCGTTCCCCATCTCCCTTCTCTGACACTTGCACAAGCACAGATGGAACAGGGGGGAGCAGTGATGCGGAAGGAGGAGCGGCGGGGAGAAAGGCCAAGAGAAGAAGGCTGGATGAGAGATGGACTGGAACGCCCCCGCGTTCGCTTGCGCCAGAAACTGCAACTTCGGCGACGCCGCTGGCCTGTCGGCCCCCCCAAGAGAGATCACGTTCGAAGGCAGGGGCACGGAGGAGGAACGACGGATCCAGGAAGGACCCTGGGAGTCCAGCAGGAAAAGCCTGAAAGGGCAAGCCTCCTCCCTCCTCCTCCTCCTCCTCCTCCTCCCCCCCCCACCCTCCCTCCATCTCCTCCTCCTCCTCCTCCTCCTTCTCCTCCTCATCCTCCTCCTCCCCTGTCGTGCGACCCAGCGCAATACGTGGACTTCTCTGTTGTGGCACATGGTCAGGTTACGCGAGAGCCTCCTTGCTCCTTGGGGACCTCTCGGGGGGGGGTGCTCTTGAGGCCTCCAGGAGTATCAGGGGGACATTGAAAGCCTTACCCGCAAGGGTCATTCCACAAGACCTCTCCCAGCTCCCTCTTGGGGCCATTCTTTTGTCCAGAGACAACTTGGAATCATGCCTCTGTGCGCTTAGAAGTGTGTACGTTCTGCGCCTTGTCCGCCGTGTGCAAGGACATGATGAAGTCGGCGTTCTGGGAACAATGCACAGCCCTGGCGTGCCCGCGCTTCCCTCACCCTATGGAGTGGCATCGCGACTCCGCCGTCTTCACCCTTCTCCCCATCCTCCGCCGTCTCCTCCTGTGCCACAGCTGCCCGCTCCATTCAGGCGTTGCCGAGCCAACCAGAAGGAACAACACGAAAACGTATGGACAGTGACTGGGCCTGCGTTGGCGGGGAAACCATTGCTCGTGAAGTCAAAATTGCGGAGTGCCGCTCCGACTGCTTCTCACAAGCAAGCAAATTCAATTGGAAGCTTAAGTCCTAGATCTCAGCCCATGGCGCTGATGCATCAAAGAGAACAGCAAATGTATCCAACCACGCAAGCCGATCCAGAGCCTCAGCACCTGAAGGAGGCGACGGACGAAAAAATATACAGACATCTGTGTGAAACAACTGCTGGAGCGTCGCCAGCCATGCAGACGCAAGTCATGCGCCGTGCGGCAGAAACTTCACTAAACCCGTATCGAAGCCAATCACCACCGAAGCCACTCCGTCAGAACGAACCCCCGTCAAAGCTGACGGAGGCTAACCACCCTCAACGTCTGACACAGCGGATCGGTACGCTGACCTTCGTAGTTTTCAGAACGGACAGCCAGATTGACGGTGGCGAAATGGACGCCGACCCGCTGGCCAGTCTGGACGGAGCCGTCGCAAGCAAGCAAGCTGCTGCCAGGTACAGGCTACAAAAATATAAGCGAGCAAGCTGCTGCTAGCTGCTGGTCCCCCGCCACGTCCCACCCGGAGCTAGGGCGATAACTCGACTCTCCCAACACTCTTCCATGGCACCAGCAGGACACGGAATGCGGGCGTACGTTGGCCTCAGGAGTGGCGGGCGTCAACAATGAGAATGTCACGTCACTCACAGCTTGGCGGGTAAGGAACATCGGCGACGAGACCAGCGGGGAGAGCAGGAGAAGGCCTTCTCAGAAGGCTCGGAAGTCCCCAGCCTCTTGCGAAGTTTTCTAAGCCCACCTCGAAGACAGAAAACTTCGCTGAAGGCGCGAGGGCTTCTCTCCGCCCGCCGCCAAAAATGAGCTTAAACCCCTCCGGCATGCGAGCCGCAACCCCTGACACAGACCGGAAGGAAAATACGCCTCTGGCGGCCGCGCATGGCTGCCTTCGCGGGCGGGCGCGTGCAAGGCGACGACGCTGCAGCGCAGAGAGAGACATGAGGAGGAGGAGGAGGAGGAGGAGGAGGAGGAGGAGGAGGAGGAGGAGGAGGAGGAGGAGGAGGAGGAGGAGGAGGGGGAGTCGGAGTTGGAGGAGTTGGAGTTGGAGGAGGGGGAGGAAGAGGAGGGGAGGAGAGGAGGAGGAAGAGGAGGAGGAGGAGGAGGAGGAGGAGGAGTGGGAGAGCACTCGGCACAGAGAGACTCTGCGACGGGGCGGTGGTCAAACGATACAACCACTCCGGGGCGCAACGAGGCACCCTCCAAGAGCGGCAACACGGGGGAGGAGCAAGAGGGAACGGCGCCGGCAACCGCGTGGACCGCTGCCAGTGACGGCGCGCCGCGGGGCGGCTGAGGCGGCCATGGCGCGGGCGCGCAGCGTCGCGGGACCCTCCCGGGGAAATCTGAACAACAATGACACCTCGCGTAGACGCGCGGCCACCGGTCCTGGGGGAGAGGAGGACAAGGAGGAGGAGGAGGAGGAGGAGGAGGAGAAGAAGAAGAAGAAGAATCACTCCGTTGGGGCCTGGTTCGTCCACCTACTACAGATCGAAAAAGCCCAGAGACGATCCTTAAGATAGGATCCGAAACGCCTGGGACACTGGCCCCAAGGCTAGACCGCATTCAGGTCCACTGCCCAAGGCTAGACCGCATTCGGGTACGAGTTACCCGAGTCCAGACCCGCGGGGGACACAAATACTCACCCCATTCGGCGAACCATCTCTTGAACGTGCCTGCTATGCGCAAGAGCCTCCCACCTCGCCGAATCCCTGGGGATTCCCTGGGCCTCCAAGAAACGCGCAACGCTCCTGGATCCCCAGGGGGCCTCTCCTCCTCTACGCTGTACATACCTCTCAGCAACCTCTCCCACGTAAGCTCCTATCTCCATTGGGCCTAGATAGCTACTGGACCTCGGCGAGGCAATCGAAGGGGGCGTGGAAATACTCCTCAAGGGCCTCTGAGCTCCCGAAAACAACCTCTGGGGGCCACTAGTAGCAATCGAAGTACTGGGCGGCATACTCCTCAAAGGCCTCTGGGACTCCGACGACAACTTCTGGGGCCCCCTGGGCGCAATCGAAGAACGCGCCGAAATACTCCGCAAGGGCCACACGGTGCCAACAAATCGGGGCCGCCGCTATTTGGAACCACGTCGCTCGCACAACGTGATGCACATGGCCTCTGGATCCTCGCTGCGTTTGATGAGATCGTTGGCGGTAACATCGGTCGCGATGAGATGGATGCACTCAATCGCTTTTGCCATGTGCTTATCGGCTGATGTACACTGGCAGGCACAGCGTGCACCTCAAAGGATATGTCCGCCCCTCGGCGGTCCGCCACTCCCTGAGAAGAAGAAGCTGAATGTTGTGAATC